TGTAATTTAAACCTTAGAGGGGACCATAAAGTTGTTGACTAGGGAGTTGAATGGAAAATTTTTTCACTAGGGACTGAAAGAGAAGATGAATTTAGGATTGGGGATTTATCTATACATTTCCCTTTATGTGAACATGTTAAAAGGGTAACTTTAGGAAAAAAAATGCATATAAAATTCAAAACCTCAAGAGTAGCTTTAGGCTTTAGCAATTACCACAAAGATTAAATATAAAAATGATATGCTAGAGTCAATCTTAACTAAACAGTATTTTTTGACTGTTGGATCACACACACTCACACATACCCATATGGGTGTGTGTTGATCCAACGAGGTACTATGTACGCGTTTCTTTTTTTTTTTCATAATGATCAAGACAATTATTGCCTAATATCTGATGCCACCTACACCACTTTCTTAGCAATAGACATTCCGAAACTACAAATTTACAAAAGGCAGAATTGCATATAAAGACGCCACTTTTTAAGGTTTTTGTAATTTAATCACCACTTTTTACAATTTTCGTTTAAATCATCACATTTCATATGTTTTGCAGATCGAATCATAAATTTAACTTCCCTGTTAGACTTTCCGTTTGTGCCAAGTCAGCTCCAATTTAATGAAAGTTAAATTTATGTTTCAATTTGCAAAACATATGAAAGATGGTGATTTAAACGCAAATAGCAAAATGTGGTGATTAAGTTGCAAAAGTCCTAAAGGTGGTGCTTTTATATGCAATTTCGCCTTTACAAAATGAACAAAGCAATGCCAAAGCTCCCATTAAGATTCACAATCTCAGTCAATCCCAGCAAAATGTTTGCATCAATCAACCCATTTCCCTGTACAGTCACGACAAACATACAGATTTTACATTGATCTGCGGAAATATGCTCGTCGGCCTGTAGAATTAAAAATTCGAAATGCGGGAATAGAGAATTTACAGTTGCCAGACGTGTAATCTCAAGAAGCTATGGTTTTTCACTATGGCCAATTTAAGATGATGTATATGCATGCTTATAGTATATCCATTCCTCCTCACTGGCTGTGTCTAGCCTTTCTCAACGTTTTTACCATGCCTCTCGTGATTTTCCAGAACCAAAACACGTTCATAAGTGATATAACCGGAGGTACCGTAAGCAAGCTGTAAAAACCTAACGGGAAGATTTGTTTGACCTGGAAAAAACAAGCACGTTAAACAAAAAATTACAACACTAGTAATTTACGGAACATTTACAACTGCAACTCACATCTCATAAATTTACAGGACAACAGCTTGAGAGCAATATTTAGAAAGTCAAATAGACTAGCATTTAAAAATGATGTTACAAAATGATAGCATGATTAATCAGTAAACAAGCAAAATGAAGTCACCTGATCATAATGGATAAATATGTGGTAGAAGAAGAACATAAACAAAATGATCCTCGCCACCTGAAAATCATCCGTTTACGTGTTGTTACATACATCAACAGTACGAATAGTGGCCAAAGAACACCAAACTAAATAGAATGTCACTTTATTTAGCATTTATCAGCAACTTGAGGTACCTATACTGAGGTAGTGAAAAACATAGGCGTTTTTTTTCTCTAAAGTGAACAAGCTAAAGCTAATTCTCATTGAAACAAACTTAAAAGAAAATCAGAACAAAATTTATTCCATGCTGCAATTAAAAGATGGCCGAAGAATGCATAAGTAGTGCATTATAAGTTATAACTATTCAGGGAGGATACATATAACAGTCTAGATGGACAATTCCAAACTGTAAATGGAGAATCATCTGACTATAATTTACTAATCTGACGATGTCCCAACTAGCATAACAATGCATGAACCCTTATAGGCAAGCAAAAATGGGTTGATATAATTTGATGACATACCAACCACCCAAAGAACAATGCCACACCATTGTAGATATACAATTTGGAGTTCTTCATGCCAGCAGTATCAAGATACCTGAAAATTTCATGAAAGGAATAAATAAATAAATGACAAGTAAATATTAAATAATGTGTATTTGTCCAAAAAAAAAAAGTACTTGATGTTGAACTTAAGATAAAAGCAATCAAGGAGTTGGTAGCTTCGTGTCTCCAAAGCTCACCATCTTTGATTAACAAACGGTGTTGTGACTTCAGTAAAGAGAACCATAAGTATATACATTTGTGCTTCACCACTCAAGAGCGACAATATGATACAATACATGGAGAGTCCATGATGTACGACCTAGCAAAACAGATAAGCGCTATAAAAACCAATGCTCCAGAATATGACATGACATGTACTAAAACACAGGATATTATATGTTACTTGGTGAGAAGAAAAAGCATAATGAATAAATTACATAAATCCAAAAAAAAAAAAAAATCAGGTGAACTTGGCGTGTTGGTAAACTTACATACTCCATCCCACCTAAAGTCGGGTAGTGATAAAAAATCATTGACAGGTCTGACAGAAAGTAACCAATTGAGACCTGCATCATTAGATAACAAAGGAAATCAATTTATACTAGAAATAAGAACCTTAAATTATATACATAAGAGTTGATTTTCTATCATTTTTCCTTTGAAATAACAATCTTAAGGGGCCTATACCAGAGAATCTTATAATATAGAAAAGTGAAATGTTAGTTTGAAATAAATGTCTATTTCAGTTTCATGTCAGAGCAGACGAGCTGTTCGTCCAATTGAGTCTCATTAAAATAAAGCATGGAAGGCCGTCATTCGCTTGGTGGGACAAAATTTCACATGATTCTAAGCAACTGTCAAGTTTAGATATCTTATATGCTGAATCTTCAACTGGAAGTCTTAGACTTCTCACTCGAGCATAAACCAAGCAAAACTAATTTAGTAGTGAACAATTCATCAAATAGATGTTTCTAACCCGTACTGAAGTATTCAGTTTTCATTAGGTCCACCAAGATGAGAATAAAGTAAAAAAAAAATAAAAAAATAAGGAAATGCTCTCCTCATCATTGATCACACCCACCCACATAAGTTACACAATTCACCAATTTCATAGACATTTACACATGTCAGCTGCAAATATAGCTAGCATACCCCTAATACAGTGTCTGATAAAGGTGAGGATCTGTGGACTATCAACCCATCTTGAGCCTCAGCAAAAAGATCCGAAACAAGCAAGAGATACAAAGAGCCAGCAGCCACAACAATGGCATGGAAAGTGGAGAATCCCCTGCAACAACAATTAACCAAATAACTTTTCATGGTCAACCAAAGAACATATCCATGGCTTATAGATAGAAATCAACATCGTACGAAAAGGAGCAGTACCTGTTGTTCCATTCGAGCTTTGCTTTATCGTTAAGCTTGTTATATCCCTTGAAGAGCAAAGAGCTAATTACTCCTGTTAGGTCATAAACCTTGAAAAAGAAAACAGGTTATCTTCAAGAAAATGGCCAAGCATATCCAACGAGCTTCTTGAATCGGCTTTGCAATTAGTGTCAAGAGAATGATCAAATACAACACGCGGTCAATTCTTAGAGGAATAAAGGAAAGTAGGCTTGGAACATTCAGAATTTATATCCAAAACTCAAGTGTCATTTGAACATCCCATCAACTACAACATAATCATCATGAGTGTTCACCGCACAATACTCAAAACCCAGCAACGAAATTCATGTGGCAGCACAATACTCAAAAACCTAACAATAAAATTCATGTCGAACATAAAAGAGAGAGAGAGAGAGAGAGAGAGAGAGAGAGAGAGAGAGAGAAGGAGCACACTCACAACTTTACACATCAAAATCCCAGCAAAAACAGCCGAGAGCCAACGCAATTCCTTGGTCGGAGTGGCGTGGCCTGCAACATTCATCAGCCCAACTACTGCTCCTCCTGCAACCCACATCGTTTCTCCTTCCTCTGTCTGCAAAAAAAAACATCGAATTCAGAAGAACACGAAAGAGAAAAGCAAAGAGTTCAGAAAAGGGGGAAAAAATAGTAAATGGAAGCAGCAATCGCACTCCCCGTGCTTGTATGAATTCATACATAAAAAATACTCTACATATCAAGAAAACCCATTTTCAGTCACCTGAAGAGGAATAATCAATCGCACTGTAAAAGGGAAACAGGAAGATCAATCAACAACGAAATGACTCGAGTCGAGAGTTTGAAAGAGCTAGAAACTGCTTAATATGGCACGAGATATAATATTTATGCCAAAAATTACCATTTTAATAGAAATAAATATTTATATTATAAATTATATCATATTTTTTTAGTGTTTTTAGATAAATGAATATTTAATTTTTAAAATATGAAATTTTTTAAAATTTAAAAATGTATTTAGTAAAGAAATATGATTAACCAATGGTTGGTCGCCAAGAATTAAGTTTTATTTTATTATGACATTTGACTAAAACTTTTATGAATAATTTATCGCATCATCAATTTGAAACCTAATTTTTTCTTTGATTGGATTTGGAAAAATCACGAAATCAATTTGGAACCTAATCTTTTATTTGATTGGGTTTGGAAAAATCACGTAGGAGAAATGCAAGAATAAGGCAATCTCCAGCTCTTATATCTACTCTAGCGCGGATTTTACTCTATTTCATTGTAGAGTGAAACATTATTCCTCGGTCCTTATCTCTACATTTTACTCTACATCAAATATATTAATTTTTGTTAATAATACATGTATATCAATAATTTTATATCGAATAATATA